TTGCGTCGTTATCATAATCGGAATGTTCGATCGCGAGCCTTTTTAGTCGGTGACCTGGTTCTGAGGAAAATTCAAACAACACAGGATCGGCATAAATTATCTCCCTTATGGGAAGATGGTACTATGATCAACAATTCTTGGAATATTGAACACCTTCGTCGATTTTACGCTTAGGCATTTCGTTTGTATCTTTCCTCTTTGACTGCTAACTTCAAGTTTTTCCTCGAAGTTTTCAGTCAGGGGGCTACTATAATAATAATGGAGTGTGATTTTTATCAATTCAATTTGCTTACTTGATGTATCATTGCCCTGTTTGATTTCTTGGCTTAGTCAATGAGGACTGAAAGTTTTTTAACAACTTTTGCGGGTTTTAGGCTCAACAAGGTTTGACAAAAACTTTTAAGAAATCAGGAGCTAAGTTAAGATATCAAGCACAGCATAAATTCATCAGTATTGTACAAATTGTGCCTCCATCATCATTAATCATCAAGATTATCGGTACATTAATCAGTATCAGTCTTTTCATCATCAGAAATATCAGGACCAGTCGGTCGAAGATCGGTGTCCTGAAATCTCTCAACTACATCGGCAGCAATTTTGTCAGCCGCTTTCTGCGCATTACTGATGAGGTCAAGAGCAGATTCTTCGCTCGTCCCGTCTGCAAAGCCATCAGTGGCATCAATATCAACTCTCGGATAAAGGGATTTAGTCATCGCCAACGCCATGCTTGCTCCCATACTTCCAGTTTCTTTGATGTTCTTGAAATATATATCCGGAGGAACTCTCAGCTTGTCGAAAATTTCAGAAGCATCAAGTGCACTCGGGCCATTGTTATTGTGGAACATCGCTTGAACAATTGGGGCAGCAGCGTTAGCAACCTCATCCCGGGCTCCTTCAAGTTTTTTGATCTTGCCAACCAGGACGTCGAATTGAGCTTGAGATTTGATCTTGCGGTCTGCATCGACAGATTCATATTAATAAGTCAGCATATGGAGGATAATGGCTTTTGAGGTATTGATTGTTGATACCTTCAACTTCCTTCAAAGCCAGGTCTCTCTGTCTTGCCAGTTCTGCCTTGTCATTTTCCAGAGTTTGAATTTGCTTCTCCAACTGAGATATCTTGGCAGCTTGCACTACATTGATTACTGTAAATCAAGATTGCAAAGATAACAGTATAAGTCAGTTGGGCAGAGTTTGCACAAACCTTTTGATGAGCCACTCAGTTCAAAATTGGATTCCTGGAGCTCAGCAATTCGATTCCTCAGATCATGCTCATTTTTCCTGGCAAGCTCTTTTGTCTCATGCAGCAGACTCCTGGTGGCTTCGAGGGTCCCGAGATGAGGGACTAGCCTCTCTAAGGTTACCGTTTTAGCTTCGTTCCTACGATGAATCCTCTACAAGACAGTTTAATTAGCGCATGAATTAAATGGCAAACAAGATGGTTGAGATCAGGTACCAGAGGGCTTACATTTACAATGCGGGTTGCCTGACTAAGTGCCTTCTTCAGTAGGCATAACTCTTCGTCCTCTTTTTGCTTATTTATCACGATCCCTTGAGGCTGCATGTTGTCATCCCACCACTTGACCAGAATCGGAGGGCGTGAATCCTCAGCAGTTTGTATGCGGGGAATTTCTTCTTCATCACTGATCATTGGCCCTAATGTATCCACTGACAGAGGTTAGACAATTGGTCAGAGTTATTTCGGTCGACATGGTTTCAGACAAAGTGTTTTACCCGTAATGATTTCTGGACAAGGACGAGTGGATTCGGATGCCTTTAAAGGAGATCCAGATCTCTGGTTATTGCTGGCGTCTTGACCGCGAGGGCTGTCTGCTTGAGCTCCAACTTCTGGAATCTCTTGGTTTGGCCCTGCGTCCGACTGGTTTCCAGTCAGGGGCTCCTAATTAACTCCGGCTTCGGCTTCGGCCGACTGGTTTCCAGTCGGGGGTTGATCACCGGATTCTACATTATCGGTTGCCGGCTGATTGTCACTCAGACGGTCCTCGGCGGTTGGCCCGGTTTCTTTGGAAGAACTTGCGTCCACGCTAGTCGGGTCAGAATCTTTCCCAGACGGATGTATATCAGATGGTTTCCTGCAAATTTGATTATCAGTGTTATTGCCGCAATGGATGCGCATCAATGCAAGAGAGATCATTATATGAGTTGTACCTAGAAGACTTCCTGATCTTTGGCGCAGGGCGACTGGATGTTTTCTTCCTTAGAGTAGCCTGTTTTGGTAGTTTCTTAGTTGTCTCTCGGTCTCCAGGCCTCCTGGTAGTATCATCGACTTCGTCGTCACTTAAAACCAGCTTCCTCTTTCGAGAGTCTGACTGGCCGACTGGACCAGAAGCACTTGGTTGAGTTTCAGACCGAATTCTTGGTCCTCCGCTCCCTTGCCCAGTTTGGTGGCGGGGAGATCGGCGTTGAGTGATTGGGGGATCCGACTTCATCAAAGAAAATTCCTGGGTGTAATATCTTTCATTGTTAATTGATTCAACAGGAAGACAAGATCATATTTAGAGGAGGGTTGAATGCGTTGAATGGCACAACGGGCAGCAGATGTGAATAGCTGACAACAATAGTGTTTGAGAAGATTTTGTACATTCTTTCTTTCATGACCTTAAAGTCAAGAGAATCTGAATCTTCCTGATTTGGATCATGCTTGTCATCAAACTCAAAAGCTGTGCGGGATCTTTCTTTGATTGGAGCTAACCGACACTTAATAAAGTGCCGGGTGATATGCTCTCCTTGAAGACCCTGTTCTTTCAGCTTTATCATCCTCTCCATCAGTTCTACTGCCTGAGCAGCTTCATCTCCCATAGGCAATGAGTTCCATGTGTCCTGGTAAACCGGAGGAAGACAGCAGTACTCGGGGAGTGCGGGCTCAGGATTCTGAACATAGAACCAGTTCGCATGCCAGCCTTTGTTTGAGGTTTTGAAGGGCATGGAGAAATATTTTTGGCTCAAGGTTCCTCTGAGTTGGAAACCAGCTCCCCCAACAACGCACGGCTTGCTTTTGTTTGGCTGGGGCTTGAGGAAGAAGATGCGGCAGAACAAGGCGAAATGAGGCCTAATGCCCAGAAAAACTTCACAGGCGTGGATAAAATTGGCAATATGTACTATGGAGTTTGGATTCAAGTGATGCATGCTAATCCCGTAGAAGTTCAGAATGCCCCAGAAAAACCTCGAGGTTGGAAGAGAAAATCCGCCATAGAAGAAATGAGCAAATACCACGATTTCGTGTGTATCGGGGGTCGGGAATGCCTCACCAAATGCCGGTCGCCACCCGAGGATCTCTTTTGCTGGAAGAACGCCGTGTGCCACCATCTCCTTCAGATTGTCTTCCGTCACATCGGAGGGCGCCCACTGACTCTCGCTTTCTCTTTCTTCCGCCATGAATGTGAACTGGATAGATTGATTTAGTTCGAGATATGGCTGGAAAGGGATGGGGAATCGGAGCGGTGGATGCGGGGAGAAATGTTGTGAAGTTTTTTGAGGGTGGATTGGAGCGGATTGATGAACCCTAGTTTGCGCGGTGCAGTTTTGCACTGTAGCAGGAAATGGGGAAAATGGCGAGAGTCTCGGCGGGGAAGACGAAGAGACGTTTTTCACTTCGGTATTATTAGGTTATCGGGAGTACTAATGGGCCTGGGCCTGTACAGTCCTTCAGCCCAATTATGTTTTCAGCGTGCCCCGTTGTGATCCCTAGGGACTTAGGCGCTTTTTGCTTTGGCAATATGTGCTCACAATGATGTGGCCCGATGCTGTTAAAATCTTTTTTAACGCGATTCAATAATTCTTTAGAATTATTATGATGCACATGAAAAGGTGCCCGACAGAAAGGTGTTATACCATTTTTGTAAGCTTTTTTAGGCTACAAGAGCTGTTGGGTTAATTTGAGATGACTGGTTTATTAGTAGTCATTCTCCTAGCATGTTATATGCTTATTTTGGTTATGGTAAGGGTCACAGCCTAGGCTGTTAGACTCATTAATTACCATGATTTTCTGTCATGTTTGGTGGAACATTTTAAGAGTTTCTTGCTCGGATTCCTACCAAATATATCTATTTTTGGGCCTTTTGAGTGTTTGTCACTCGGTCCTTCTTGTATTTTTTGTCCTTGATATATTCGAGTTGAGAAGCAGTCGGCTGGGTATCTTACTAAGTACCATGCGTGCTTCGCTATAAAACCACTCGGTTCTTGACTATATGTTTAGTTTTTCAACTAATCACATAGTCGGGGGCTACACCTAATTAGGTGCATCTACTCGATGCACCATGTTTTATTTTCGCCCTTCACAGTTTTTGATTTTTAGTACTCGGCAAGCTGGAGCAAGTTGAATTGAAGCACTCGGACTACTGGTTTTTGTTTCAAGAAGGTTGTTTCGTCAACTGCGAAGGTCTCGGGTGCTACTGTGGAGATTATGGATACCCCATATCTGCATGACAGTTATACTTTAGTCGGATATATGGTACCAAATATAGATAGAATATCTTTATGAGGACTCGGGTTAGATTCTAAACTTGTATGTCAAGAAAATACCCGGGATCCTAGTCGGCTATGATTGTATTTTATCTGTGATCCCATATTCCGTTAGGATATGGATTGTACCTTGCATTACGGATCCCTTCCCCTATATAAGGAGGGTCCGTGTGCCTCTTGGGGCACGATTCTTTTTTCCAGTATATACAATCAATAATACACTCGGCGGAATCATCCCCGGACAGGAGTAGGGTATTACTTCTTGAATAAGAAGGCCTGAACCTGTATAAAATCCTTTGTCTCCAAACCCACCCCCTTTTATTATTGCCGAAATCTTGTTTCGACAGGGTTTGACAATTTTATTTGCCACTGGGGACAGGGACGTTTAACAAATGAAAGCCAACAACCAACTATTTTACCATCCCCCGTCTATTGGGCCTAGTTGGGCCAAAGTTGATGCACTATCCCCACCTATATAAACCTATTGCGAAACCCTAAAATCAGTAGAAGATGCCACTTCTCCCCCTCCATCCACTACCACCCCTCCGCCGCACTCTACCAAACTTTCATTCCCCAAGATCTGGTGCTCACCTTCATTCTTCTAGCACCAATATGACATCGAGAGAGCAAATCGCCGTCCTTCCAACACCATCAAGCCAATCGTTGCCATCGTCGCTACCTACCGCCACATTCTATAGTGCCTTCCCTAGTTGTTGGTTACCCAGATCTAGGATCTGGGGCCAGGGCCTTTGGGCGGACAACGTTTAGGTGGTTTTTGATGTCGCTCCCCTTCCCTGTGCTGGATCCAGTTTTCCTTCACCGTGCAAGGATGGCAGCTCATCTTCCCCACTCATCAGCTAGTCGAACTATGTCGACGGCCAAGGTATCATTCTTCCTTATCTCGGCATGATGTGTTCTTACTTTTCTGATTTGGAATCCACAGGATCTTGGGCAGGGCTAGCTTTTCCTTCTTGCACATGGATGATGACCCCGTCTTCCCCATGCATCATCCACTAGATCTCAGTTGATGATGTTAGGATGGCAACCAAGGTATCATCCTTCCCCATGTGTGGCATGATATGTTCTTACATGGTTGATTTGGCATCCATACAATCCTTTGTGGGGCTGTATTTCCCTTCTTGTACATAGATGATGGCCTTGTCTTCTGCACGCACCGGCCACTAGATCTTGGTTATAAGTGTGCCGGGTAATCCGCTTATTTGTATTATAATTGGGTTTGCAGGTCTGTCCACTTGCATCCTTGATCTAGGTTGATGATTTTAGGGTAGAGACCAAGGTATCATCCTTGCCCATGTGCAGCATGATGTGTTCTTATATTACTTGTGTGATTTGGTATCCACAGGAATAAATGATCAAGGCATAGCGATCAAGGGTGGACATTTGCATTATTCTTTCCCTCTTGCACCTTTGCCGCCACCTTGGTGAAAAGAGCACTTTGGGAGAAACTATTCTAAACTCTCGAGGGGACATTCTCTCGTTGCTTGCATGTCATCTAAATGGTTATGAAAAAATTTAAAAAATTCAACTGGATAAATTAATATGTGATAGATAACTTCACAAACATGCCAGTAAAAATTAAACTTCTATAAGTTGCAAAAAAAAACTACGGCTAATTAGCGTATATTCACAATTAATCTATCTTACTATATATTTTTTTAAAAAAATATAAACATTTAGATGACATGTGAATAATAAGGGGATGTCCTCTTAGAGTTTACAATCCACTCTCACACTTTTGGTTAGTAAGGAAATGACAATGCATTGAGAGGGTGGCAAACTTGGCCCCAAGGCCACTCCTGGGACCGTGCTTTTGAAAAGCTTCTTCCGTCGGTTCTCAGTGATAACCCTAAGCCCATGTATCTAGGTAAACGAGTCTTTCTTCTTTCTTTTTGAACACAAACACTTTTTTATCCATGTAAATAAGTTGCAATGATAGCGAGAACTACTCCAAGCAAGGAAATGTCTTTCTAGTAAATCATAATTATCCTCTTCAAACATGTCAGGTCATGTCCTCACATGGAAGCTAGTTGTATAAATTTCCATTTCAGCCAAATCTCGTCGATCTTCATGCTGAGATTTAAACATATAAACTCAATTGCCACCCTTATACTTAGATATACTTATGAGGTTTTCTCCCATTTTTAGAAAGACATATACACCTCATTCCTTGAGAGAGATCCCTCTATTAAGGGAGCTCGAAGTGCCAAAACTAATACTACATGGGTACATGATTAGAAATTAATTTATATTTTTTGAGCTTTTTTCAAGTCTTTGAGTGGCGTAGGTTTATATCTCTTGATTTATACTAGGAGCTATATACATCCTTTAATTCTCAAGTCTAAGAAAGAGTTGACATTGGCGATAGTAGAATTTTACACATTTAATTTAGGTAGTGAGGAGGTATATATCTGTAAAAATAAATGAGAACCTCCATACTTAGATATGAATTAGTTGGTGATACCGGATTTGCTCCACCAAATAAGTCTATGAAGATTTGTATATTTGGCAGTAATGTTATTATGGCCAAATCAGTAGTAGCTGTGAGCGGTTGGATGCAGCTGTACTGGTTGGCAGTCACTTTCCGTGTTCATACCCATTTTTTTCTATTTCAAAAAAAAATCTGTGTTCATATCTCAATATATCAGTACCACTGAGAATCGGTTGAAATTGAAACTTGTGTAACCGTGACATTATCTCACCTGTTTTAGAGGATACAATTGTGATATACTATAAAACATTTCCTTGCTTGGAGTAGTTTTTTCTAGCATTGCAACATATTTCACACAGATAAAAAATCGTTTGTGTTTAGAAAGAAACAAGAGAGTGTATAGAACGCGTTCACAAAGACAGGGTGAAGCAGAACGCGTTCACAAAGACAGGGTGAAGCACTGAAATTCGACTATAAAAGTAAGCCCCCATTCTGTAAAAACTACACACAGATCGAAGGAAATCAGATACATGAAGAAATAAGCTTCCTGCCGCCTGGTAAGTTACGTTCCCTCTCGTCTTGTCACAAATTCTAATTTGGTTTATGTTCTTAGAAGTACATAGTTTTGCATACTATAGATTTGTTGAGAGGTAAGTTCCCTCTCGCTTGTCACAAATTCTAACACAAATTCTAACATGTTTTCTGTTCTTAGAAATACATAGTTTTGAATACCGTAGATTGTAGAGAGGTAAGTTCCCTCTCGCTTGTCACAAATTCTAATCTGGTTTCTGTTCTTAGAAGCACATAGCTTTCAATACCGTAGAGTAGAGAGAGAAAAAACTCGTTTCTTGCTTGTGAAATCCTGAAATCCACCTCTAAGGATCTAAACTTTGTTGTAAGCTTTTGCTAATCAGATCTACATGGGACTCAGTGGTTTACAGGAGGTTTAGATGTTCTTGTATGCTTGTGATTATCAGATCTCCGTCAAATTCTAGCGATTTATTTCAGGTTTTTGCAGCTTCCTGTATGTTTTGTGTGGTGCCATGGCCAACGCCGTTTTTTCATATATTTTTCCCCATGCAGGTTTGTCTCCAAGATTCAAACGGAGGAAGGTGGTGAAATCCGCGACCTGACCTGGCTAGCATGGAAGACGCCAACGAGAACCTGGCCCAGCAAGGAGATGCCAACGGGAACCCGGCCCATCGAGGCCTTCCACCTCGCCACCTCATCATTCCCTACTCTGTCGCCGCTGCCATGGCGAACCGGCCCATTCGCCTAGCCAGCCAGGCTCGGCTTCTCAGCGGTGGTGGCGGGGCGGTAGCCCAGCAGCCTCCGACCCAACACGCCATCGCAGCCCAGAGGCGCCTGCCTAGTCGCAATCGCTGGAGCCGCATCATCCCGTCACTCCTCCCGGACGGCAAGAGCTACCACATCATTGACACCAGCTTCACTTCCGAGGAAGTGTTCGTGCCCGCGCCACCGCCGCCGCTGCTCGTCTCCACCGTGCGCCGCCCCGCGGCGCCGTCGGCGCAGCCCATTGCTACCATGTTCACGTGGCCAGTGCCCCCACGTGGGTGGACCGTGTCGCCGACCACCGGCCGCTATCGCTTTGGCTACGGTTTTGGCGGCGAGAGCTCATCCTCTACTGTGCTGCGCACGCCTGCTGCTCCTACTACCACGCGGGGGCCTGCTCCTCTTCTTCCTGCACCGCCCACGCTTGCTCCTCCTCTTGTTGTGCCACGCGGCTGGTGGATCGTATCACCGACCATCGGCAATGATCGCTTCGGTGATGGCGGCACGAGCTCGTCGACTGCTGCGCCGCTCACGCCCACTGGTCATTCTACACCACTCGAGCCTGTTCTTTCTGTTCCTATGCCACTCGGTTTGACCATGTCACCGACCACCTCCCACTACAGCTTCAGCTACGGTGGAGCAAGCTCATCATCTGCTATGCCACGTGCGCCCACTGCTCCTCTTGCACTGCACGCTTGCACCTCATCTTTGTGTGCCACGCGTGCTTTCTCCTCCTGCTCCAATGCCATCCGCGCTAGCAACTCATGTTCCTACGCCGCCCGCGCCTGCCCCTCCAGTTCCTACACCGCTCGCGCCTACTCCTGCTGATGTGCCGCCCGGGTTTACCATGTCACCGACCATCACCCGCTACAGCTTCGGCTATGATGGAGCGAGCTCGTCGTCTGCTATGCCACGCATGCGCACTACTCTTGCACTGTGTGTGCCTGCACCTCATCCTCGTGTTCCACGCGCACCTGCTCCTCCAGTTCCAGCGCCGCCCGCGCCTACCCCTCCTATTCCTACGCCGCCTGCGCTTGCTCCTCCTGCTGATGTGCCACCCGGGTTTACTGTGTCACCAGCCACCACCCGCTACAGCTTCGGCTATGGTGGAGCGAGCTCGTCTTCTGCTATGCCACACGCCACCACTGCTCCTCTTGCACTGCGCGCGCCTGCACCTCATCTTTGTGTGTCACGCATGCCTCCTCCTCTTGTTCCTACACCGCCCGCACATGCTCCTCCTGTTGCTACGCCGCCCACGCTTGCCACTCCAGTTCCTACGCCGCCCGTGACTGCTCCTCCTGCTGATGTGCCACCTGGGTTTACTGTGTCACCGACCACCACCCACTACAGCTTCGGCTATGGTGGAGCGAGCTTGTCGTCTGCTATGCCACGTGCAGCCGCTGCTCCTCTTGTACTGCGCGGGCCTGCACCTCATCTTCGTGTGTCACGCATGCCTGCTCCTCCTATTCCTATGCCGCCCGCACCTGCTCCCCCCATCCCTACGCCGTCCATGCCTTTCCCTACAGTTCCTGCGCCGCCCGTGACTGTTCCTCCTGCTACAGCCCCGTCCATGGCTGCTCCTGCTGCTGCGTCGCACGGGTTGACTGTGTCACCAACCATGACCCGCTACAGCTTCGGCTATGGCGGCGCGAGCTCGCCATCTGCTGTGCCGTGCACGTCCAGTGTTACTCTTGCACTACGCGCGCTTACTCCTCATCTTCGTGCGCTGCGTGTATCTGTTCCTCGTCCTCGTGCGCCATCCGCATCGGCTCCTCCTGCTGCTGCACCACGTGAGTGGACCGTGTCACTGACCACCGGCCGCTACAGCTTCGGCGACAGCGGTGCGAGCTCGTCGTCCGCTGCACCGCGCGCGCCCGCTGCTCCTCTTGCACTGCACGCGCCTGCTCCTCATATTCGTGCGCCGTCCATGGCTGCTCCTCCTCCTGCTGCACCTCGTGGGAGGACCATGCCGCCGACCACCGGCCGCTACAGCTTCAGCTATGGTGGCCTGAGCTTGTCGTATACTACGCCGCGCGGGCCCATCGCTCCTCTTTCACTGCGCTCGCCTGCTCCTCATCTTCGTGCACGGCGCGTGCCCACTGCTCCCCCTGCTGCTGCTAGGCCGCGCGCGCCTACTCCTCCTGCTGCTGCTGCTGCCCCGGCTGCGCCTCCGGCGCCGCCGTCCGGCCTGCCTTCCTGGCCGCTGCTGGTTCGTCCCCCAACCGGGCCAGCGCGTGCGCGTCTGGCGCCTGCCACACCGACAGAGGCGTTCGAGGAGTACCTCGTGCAGCGCCGCGCGATCGAAGCTACGGTGGACGATACGCCATGGGAGATGATCGGCAGAAGCAGGAAAACTGGTGGCCCCATGTTTGCGGTGGCAGGCGGTGGCCGCGACAGGGCGGAGCTGGAGGCCAAGGAGGCCAGGGAGCGTCGCAAGAACAGGATGGACAAGAGGAAGGCCGCCGCCGCCGCTCGCGCCCAGCAGCCACCGCCGCCGCTCGCGCCCAGGTAATCGATCGATCGCGTCGTCAATTTTAATTGCTTGGTTTTGCACGTGATCACCATGTACAAATATGCAATCCTAACACAATTTTTGCCGTCTCGATCGTGCGTGCTGCAGATGCTCCGGGGAGCTCAAGTGGTGGTAGCAAGAAGCGTGGAGGTGGGAGGAAGAAGAAGCAAGCTTGATCATCAAGAAGCTGGACCGTTCGTCTTCAATCCATTTGGCACCTGAGATTTCGTCCGCATCATTTCCGTTTCAACGAGTAATTTAGCCATGTCGTTTCCTGACTCGGCGTGTGGCTCTGTGAGCCTTAGGGAGCTTTGCTCCATTGATGTTGTTGTGCATGCAATTCTTGCATGGGTCGTCGAACTATGTTTCTGGAGTTGTTTGTGTTAAAGTCCCAAACTTATGTTGGGTTTCATTTATTCTGGGCTGAATCATGGTTTTGTAACATCATGACTAGCCCTAGTCACTACTACTAAAAGGTAGCACCTAGGACTTGTTTGCATAGTAAAAATTATTGAAACAAAATTACTTTTAGCAGGAATATATCCAAATAGAGCATATGAAAAGATCAGTTGTTGAACACCCTGAAATAAAAATTCCTGAACTAAAGAATTAAACAATAAACAGTTAAATCCCAGATGTAATAAGGGGAAAATATGCACTGTGAGAGTGCCTCCTCACTGTAGATTTTTTCATTTTACTCTAGAAAAATGTACTGTTTACTATTCCTACTCTGAACTTTTTTCTAGTGTTCTTGTAGGCCTGGTCCTGAGGTTGTTATAGCCTGAATATCACAATGCCCTGCTGAACCATGAAAAGCTGCATCCTCCAATGTGTCAAAAGACATGGAAAAGGAGAAAGAAACTAGAGAAAAAAGGCAGAAACTATCTTAGGTGTCTTTGGAAGTTGTGTTGACTGCTAGTATCTATCTATCTATCTATCTATCTATCTATCTATCTATCTATCTATTTTCTATTATATACTAAAAGTCCATTAATCTTTCTATAAACGCTCCTAATCCGCCATGTGGCGTCCCTACGAACGCTCCTAAGTCGCCACATGGCATTTTATAATCTCACTGTTGATTTTCATTTAAATTAGTGGGCCCATAATTTTAGACCGGTAGATTAGATCTATTTGCTTGCTGTTAGTATCCCGTGCATATGGGTAAAACTAGCATGCCTACTTATGAGGGAAAAAGCTATGGAACTGTTCATTTAAAAAATCAAGAATCATACGTAAGTACGAGAAGAAAAACTATAAAAAAACCTACTAAAAAAATAAAAACATGCTTACGTATGTAAAAGAACTATAACGCACTTAAAATTTATATGTATGCACATCAGTAGAAAAAATTAGACCATCTTTTTAAAATAAGATTTTCTATACTATAAAAACACGCAATATGTTAGACCATTAGATTAGCCCGCTTTCTCTTAATAAATACTCCCTCTGTTTCACAATGTAAAAATTTTCTAGCATTGTCCACATTTATATAGATGCTAATGAATCTAGACACATATATGTTTAGATTCATTAATATCTATATGAATATGGGTAATGTTGGAAAGTTTTACATTGTGAAACGGAGAAACTATAACAAAATTCGATAACCCGGATTATGTTATTGAATTATTGCATCAAGGACCATAATTTATAATAATTTAATAATATTAGATAATTTAATAATTTTGTTTTATATTAATTGTTGAATACTAAAAGTCCATTTGAACTTTCTTAAAATGCTCTCACACTGCCACGTGCCAATCCATAAAATGCTCTCAAGCTAACACGTGACGCTAATAAAATCCATCCCTCAATTTTTACTTAATTCAGTGGGTCCAATATTTTTAGCCGTCCAACTTAATTGAGATTAAAATAACCTACCGCCGCCGGAACTGCGGCTAAGGGCCGGACGGAGGGAAGCTTCCCTAGGGCGTCACCGTAGTCATCCTGCTATTGCTCGTATGTCCCGCCATGGCTGATGATTAAGGGGGTGTTTAGATCCAGGGGTGTAAAGTTTTGGCGTGTCACATCGGGTATTATATAGGGTGTCGCATGGGGTGTTTGGGCACTAATAAAAAAACTAATTACAAAATTCGTTAGTAAACCGCGAGACGAATACTAACGAATTTATAAGTCTAATTATTCCGTCATTAGCAAATGTTTACTGTAGCACCACATTGTCAAATCATGGAGCAATTAGGCTTAAAAGATTCGTCTCGTAAATTAATCGCAATATGTGCAATTAGTTATTGTTTTGGCCGATATTTATTATTTCATTCAGGTGTTCAAACATCTGATGTGAACATGGTGTAAAGTTTTGGCATAGAATCTAAACATGGCCTAATTCACTTTTGGTTTTTCAATTTTGTTATTCACATGTATGTACTACTCTGTCCCAGAAAAAGACAAACTCTAGCTACGAATCTAGACAAAACACCTTACTTTTACTTTTGTTGACATGTTTTCTGAAGAAAATAAGTCTACCATCTTTTCAAATGATGAAGAATATTACAAATAATTACTTATAAATATTATTTAAATATGATATAATATAAAGCTAATGGGTTTGGAGAATTATAAAAGCAATTAATGCCGATGAAAAAAAATTATGAAGAAATCGTGGCATAACACAAATATGATATACTATAAAGCTAATAGGTTAGAGAATTATAAAAGCAATTAAGGCCGATGAAAAAAAATTATAGAGAAATCGTGGCAGATGTTTGCTTCTATAAGTGTCTCAAACTTAGCGTACAACGCATGCCCGCGCGAATGCGTGGGCTATCTTCCTAGTTAGTAGTAATTAACAAAGGTGTGACTGTGTGAGTAGCCTCCCATTCCCTGCATCTGACTGATAATAGGAGGAATCAACAAGTACTTACTCCGATGTTCACCATGATTGAAGCAAATCTCCCAATTACAGATTACATGCACACACAGAGAGAACAACCACACTATCAGTATCATACAGAGAACATTGCCAGAGCCGGTGGTTAAGTCTTAAGTGATAACATAATTGGATTAATTAAAAAGATCCGTCGGTGTCAAGGGCTCTGGCAAAAGATTAGACTGCAAGCACTGTCAGTATATCACAAGCATGCATTAGCTGATCACCTCAAACTGTTTCACAGTTTGTATATTCTTCTCCATTGGCTCAAACAGTAAACATCCATGAGCCATCCAATCAGGCAAATCACCAGCTAATTAATGCCTGGAGTAACACTGAACATTTCTTGCTAAGTGCCTAAATATTTTCCTTTTATTTCTTTTTTCTTTGCTGCCAAAGGAATCAATGGTTCACCGGGCATATGAGAGTAGTCCACACAGCATATATGCATACAAGTTTAACTTCACAGTTCCTAAGAAAAACAATTAATTATGAGCAGGCAGTGTTAATGTTAGCTAACAAACTTATAATAAAAACATTTAGTGTTAGTTTAAAAAAGGGTAATAAATCAGAGCGTACGAAAGATCCCTCAGAGCAATGATACTCCAATGTCACACCCGGAGTTTCCCCTTTTTCGTATTTTCTAATTCACCAATAAATTGTCTATAGAAATTACTTTGGTTAACCTGGAGAAAACCCAAATTAACAATGTATTTAATATAGGAAATGTTAGAGAGAATTTTTCTCGAATTCTCTTTGCTCTAAAATCATTAATAGGATTTAAAGCGGAATATTCAAAGCATCAGAGTTAATGTTGTTAATTTAAATTGTCAAGACTTGAATTAATAATATTTTTTCCTCTACCGCCTTTGATCGTGAATCGTGCCCGATTCAATCCTCGCTTCGTCCGCGATTTCGTTTTGCATGACGAGCCGAGTCCGATTCCGTTCGTGGGACCGTTTCCGTTCTTTTCCTAAAACAGCACCGTATTTCTTTTCCAATTAGGGAAAGTCCTTATCCTAATCCTATTCCTATTTTTCCCTCTCCCTCCCCCTAGCCGACCGCACACCCTCTCCCTCCCCTAGCCCCCCCCCAATCCCTCTCCCCATCCGAGTTGGCCTCCTTTCACCCTCCTAATCCGACTCCCCACCGGCTCCACCTCCCTCTATTTTCCCCTCTCCTATATAAGTTATAACACCCATGTTTTTCCTATTCTTTTTTGTTTGTCCCTAGCCCTAGCCGCCGCCGGCCGCCCTAGCCCACCGTCGCCGCTGCAGCGCTGCCGCCTCCTGTCGTCGCCGTTGCGTCACCGGTAATTCGTTTTCCCTCTCCGTGTCATGGCTACCGCCATTATCTATCTATGTTCTAATTTATCTCCGCCCTAGGTTTTAATCTAGCGTCGCCGTTGTCTCCACGTGTTGCCGCCGGACCATTGTCGTCGTCTCCTCCTCGCCGATCGTCTCGGTTTGGTGAGGAACCTATCCGTAATCTCCTGGTTTAGGTGTTATTTATTTTAGCGTCGTCGTAACACTAATTGTCTAGTCCCGTCAAAACCCTAGTAATGACGCCGCCATGTGCCGCCGCTGCCGCCCTAGCCGCCGTGCGCCTGCGTGCCTCCGCACTGTGCCACCGCCACCCTTTGCCGCCGCCGTCGCTGCTCTCCCGTGTCGTCATCGTGTTTTGTCTCTGCCCGCAGCTCGGTATCCGAGTCGCAAAGCCATAGGTGCATCCCTAAACTCCTACGGCCAATCGTTTGCCGTACCGAGTCTTTGCCGTAAACTGTGTCGAGCTTTCCCAGTTTAGCCGTTGTCGTTCTGAGCCGCCGGTTCCGTTCGCCGGTTCGGTTGACCATTTAGATGGTCCCGTATCACGAAGTATTGGCTCGTTGAGTCGTTAACTGGTGAGGCTTGCTCACTGGAGGTATATTTCCATTGATCTATTTATCTATGGGCAATAATATGTAATAATTGATTAAGGTTTTTCGGTTATTTGTAATAACACAGCTCATATTATAAAATTCATAACTAAATAATCCGAGCTCCGTTTTAACCCATTCAAATTGCAGTGAATTCATTACAACGTATAGAATCCATTAAAATTGGTTTCTTTTCCTGTTTCAGTAGCCTTATTGTTTGTATTTCTTGTATGCTTTGTTTGTCGTTTAGATTCCGTCAGTTCCGGTGATCCAGTTTATTTCGAAGTGGTTGCCGAGGTTCAGTCAGCTCAAGAGCAAGGAAAGTCATACATACATCATTGATCATGTTGAGCCTATTTTATAAAATACATCATTGATCATGTTGAGCCCATTTTATAAAATCCCATGCTTTCTATTAAATTGCATTGTTTTAGAATGTCACGTGGGATGGATGCCTATCGTACTCAGCCTGTTGAATACCTTATGTCATTGATAACTTGGGTTATAATTGACTAGATGATTGGTTTAGGAATGCTTAGCCATGCTTAGATCAATTAGCTCAGAATGGGATTCATTATAATTTAGTCCTTAATTATATTATCATGTGCCACCATGGTTATGGTTTAATTAAACTAAAATATGCTTAATTGGTGGGTTGTGGGTACATGCATGATTTTGGAAGTCATGCCCATGACAATTAAGGACCGGTTCTTGGGAATCCCTGCAAGATATAATCGTACTTACCACAGGCCAGCGTGGCCTCCAGGCTAAATCTAGAGTATAACTTAACCTAGCTGACATACCATGGTAAGGGTAGAGGCAATGGTGCAGTTCGGACCTGGACATTGGTCTCTGCTATAGCCGGATTTACCTAGGCACGAGAGGGGACTGCCTATTGGTTTTTCTTAGGGTTAATTGGATCCATGCCACTGCAACTTTGCGAAATTAAAATAATGCCACTACTATTCGTCATATCGGCTACATATGCCACTGGAAATTTCTAAAATTGGAACCATGCCACTCTCGTCCCTTTTTCTGTCCCCTCTCTCACGCCGTCTCTATTTGGTCCTCATCCCCCTCCCTCGACGCATCGGACCTCGCCCACAAACTGCCGCGCCCAAGATGTCCAGGCCGCAGTCGCGCTCGCCACTGCGGCAGACTTCCCGAGTCGGACGATGCCAACTCTGGGTCCGCCTCGCCGTCCCTGCCGTGGAGATCGAGGACGTCCGGGTGAGACAGATCGATTACGGTGACGGCAAGGTCAACGGCGAGTGGGCAGAGGAGGCTGGACTTGACAACAAGGGAGTCGCAATCAGAGAGCTCGACAGGGATGACCATGGCGTGGAGGATACCAACGGTGCGTGTGGCGAGTAGGTGGAGGGCATCGGCTGCCGTGGTCGAGTGGGCACTGGCGGAGAGGAGGGACTAGGCAGGGCAAATGGGGTACAACCCAGCGACAGGGGGCGTCACAGGCACCAAGCCGTTGGGAATCGAGATCCGCCACTCCCTTGCAGGGCTTGGGGAGGAGCCTGCGGTATCGATGGCACCGCCGCCGCCACAGCCGTCGGCGGAGGTGGCTGAGGGGGAGAGGAGGCGAGTGGAGGAGAGGCTGAGGCCGCGCTTGCGTAGCTGGAGAACCAGGTGTAGACAACGGCGAGCGCCTGCAGGTAGAGAAGGCTGGAGAGGAAGACGGCGACGCCCGCGGGGGAGTGGAGAGGAAGCGGAGGAGGTCGCTGAGTTGCGGGAGTGTGCGACGGACAATCCTTAGCGGGAGTTCTCAGGAGTCGTCGCTGCCGTCGTCGCCATTGTCCTTGCCGTGCTCGACGATGCACCAGGCGAGCTCGGCCACCGGAAGAAGGTGGCTGGCGCCGAGGCTCGCCGTCGTTCACGCCATCCACGGCGGGAGTGCTCGGCCACCGCCGCCGCCACTGTCCTTTTGAAGTCGCAGAGAGAAGAAGAGGGAGATGGAAATGCTTAAACAGGGCAATGAGACGGTGTGAGGGAGGAGACGGAAAAAGGGACGGAAGTGGCATCATTCCAATTTTAGAAATTTCCAATGGAATGTAGCTGATATGATGAATAGTAGTGGCATTTTTTTAATTTTGTAAATTTGCAGTGACATGGATCCAATTAACCCTTCTTAGACGTCACAGATAGAATCCGCAAGCGCATGGATGATGCCGATGTAGCACTTCACCCGAGAGTATTCTAAGGTGTCGATTTCCACAGGGAACGTGTGTGTCAGCTCTTCACCAGGTTCATCTAAGGACACGAAGCAAAGATAGGCAAACGATAGAGAGGATTTACTAGTGAGAGATAGTGTCTACAGAATACTCTATTTTATCCTAACGCGTACTTCAGGCGCTGGCCTGCTCGCTGCTCCCGGATATGGCTCTACAACGTACCCGGACAGCGAGGACTTTAGTGTACTTGAGGGCTGTCACCAACTCTACACCCACCTCAAACCTACTGTGGGATACGAAGCAACGCCGGAAATTAACTACCCAGACACCACGTCTACACAGGTAATAACTACTTTAGCGTTTATAACTCACTAAAGTAATCACTATATATTATAACGTTGATTAGTAACTAACTAAGAGATAACTCTCACAGAATAAATCTTAATTACTCAGAATGATATTCGCTTAAAGCAGAGTAATTAACAAGATACAAAAAGTAAGAGCAGATTACCAACAACTCCGAAATTCCTCCAATTTTTTCTACCTTACTCTCTCCTTAATCTAGTATACAATAGAGCCTGTGGGCACCCAGAAATTATACCGTCCAATGCAATTTGTGATCACCGCATAATTTTGGATGAGTGGGATCCATACACGCATAAATAGCCACTCATACCTCAATGTGCATATAATCACAAACTGACACCATTCGATATAAAATCCACAATGCCGAATAATGAGCAAAGGAGATATTGTTCGGACTTACCATGCCAGTCAACTTCAGCCTTAGACATGCCCGTCAAACCACACGAAGGCGGCGACCAAATGTGTTACGCATCTCAGGAGACTTGACTCAAATTGCTAAAGCTCTACAACATCTCAATTGCTCAAAATCCATACTCATGCTTAGCTAGTCCCCAGGAAAAGCGACTAGCCTCACACTTTCATCGGAAGCAATTGATAAGCATCACAAAGGTATAATTATGGATAAAAGGACGGCAAGATACATATTTTAAAACGGGGTTCACAAGCCCATCATACAACACAAAATATAGCAGCGAAAGTTTTGCAAATTCACATAAGCAAAAGTAAAACCCGTGGTGTGCCAACAACCCCACAAGGGCTACCAACCGGGGCAAGAGCGAAGCTGCAACTACCCACTACCCTCGCCACCCTCAGCGGGATAGTAGTAGGGCACAACATCAACGCCGGCATCCTCACCTGAAAATAGCAACATGAGTACGAAAGGTACGCAAGACTTACACCATATATGATAGTACAAAGGAGTATGCATGTTTCTACATCAAAGAAAATGGCTAAGTGGTTCAGATTTTGCATAAAGCTAATTTTGTTCAGCAATTAGTAAGTTGCAAATATAGCATTTGTAGAAATAGCATAATCTGAAATTTAGGACAGCAAGCAAGTAAATATGAAATTGAAAAGTAAATGAGCACAACCGGTGCTCTCATCATCAACTATGGGCAACCATTGCCCAAACCAATGTGGCACAACATGCCAACATCACACCATGAAAAACCCACACCATTTGAACCATGTTTGATGCTAAAATGAGTGAGATACACATCAAGCATCGTCCGTAACCGTGGACACGGCTATTCGAATAGATTATACTCTGATCAGAGGTGTACTACTGGACCCACACGTAATGGACAAGGATCAAGTGCTACACACCACACAGGTGTGGTCCGCAAGTCATTCAAGCACATTACATGTCCTTTCCTAATCCCACCCCAACCACCTACCACGCCGGGGTTCCCGACGATTCTGCCACGTGCATGTGTGATGTGGCTAAGGCGGGTGCACCACGCGGGAGGCACCCCTTGCCCAAACAAACTGGCACAAATGAGGCCCTCCAAAGGGTTACCTACCCTCACGACTCTCCAACGTGGTATAAATGATCACAGTGCAATTAGTACTAAGACAAGCTGGTCCCAAATAAGGCGTGTGGTAAGTACGTAGTGTGCTTGAATATATGTCAACATGTTCGGTCCTTGATGATCCAGATGGGGCTACTTGCATCGTGGAAAACCTCCATCCCGTCATCGCCCTATCACCCGTCCAAATCAAAGCATGTTCACAAAATTAACAATAGTTTAGTTCTCAGATTTTATGCCCTTGTTTGCTAAGACAATCTAGAATCTACCAATGGCTCGACCCATCAGCTTTCGACGATACTAAAACTAAGCATTCGATGATAGAATAAACCATCCTAACCATTTACAATTGAAGGTGACAAGGTTACATGGCAACAATATATCAAAGGAAGGGAAATGCATGAAATTAGATATAAACTACTCTACCCGTTACCGACATTTTAAGGCAAATCGACTCATGCATATATATAGTTTTTGCAATCAAATAAGTTTTGTGAAATCATAGGTTCAATATGCATAGACGCTTGCCTTTCTGCTGTGTGGAAACACACTCAACCTCAGAGTCTTGCTCCACGCACTCCGAATTCTCCGAATCTACCGATAAGAGGCAAATATGCAAATAAGATTCAAATAAGCATGCATAAACATGCTCTATAAATCATGGCCTAATTACAGTAGGTAAAGAGTATGATAAACTGGTTTTAGAAACAAGAATCATCTCATTTACATTTGTGGTTTGAGAGATATAAAAATAATAAGCCATATACACTGAAAATGGCATTTCTGTAATTACATAAGAACTACCCTATGTCATATAAAAACTGACATTTTCTAGCTAATTTTAACAAGCTACCATTTTCAAGTAATGGAGCATAACTCACTGGTTCTAACAAAATTTGGTTCACTACATTTGGAGTTCAAATAGTTAGTTATGAATTTTACAACTTTAATAAAAAGAGGATTACTTAATCGTTTTAGACTTACTTTAGGAGGTAGTTTTATCAAATTATTCCTTTTCAGATAAAAGATTACATCTTTATAAGGTAACCAAAAGTGGTTTCATAATTTTAGGATATAGCATAAAGTTCCTAGAGATTATACAACTCCTAGGTGCAAAAATAAGTGTATTTATGAAACTCACAATTTGAGTGACTTTTTCAGTACCGAAGTTGTAAAGTTTTAATTTTCAACAAAAAAAATACGAATTTACGAATACATAGAAATTTGGCTCACTCAAAAATGAGTTAAGATGAATTAGTTATGGATTTTTGAAGTTTTCCTAGTTCTCATATATGTTTTCAATTATTCTTTGGACTATACTTTTGCAGCTCAAACCCTAAGCTTTTATTTTTATTACAAGGAGGTCCTGTCTTCTTCTCTAACGGAATAGAGACACAACAGAGCCATGGCTGAGCTCGAACTCAAGCTCACCGACGGGCAAACAGTTGCGCGAATGGGGGCGACATCAAAAGAGAACATGTAGAGCAAGACATTGTGATTCCATTCCTCTACTTTTCCCAGATAGTGGTGGCTGAACCCGCGCAGGCGGTGGCTGCAAGTGGCAGCGAGTTCGTGACACCATGCATGCAGCGTTGCGACACTGGATGGCTCGATCTATTGCATGCATGTAGAGAACATCACATGCAAGAAAAACATACATTAAGGACTTTATCCTACTGCTAAGAAGCCACATTTCAGCTTGAGGTGAAGGGCTAAAACCTCACCAAAACAGGGAAGCAAAGAAACCGAGCTCTGTCAGTCAAGTAAAGAAGAACAGCTTGCAATCTGCTCCTAGCCTTGAAATCTTGAACCGGTGACCTGTGGAGGAGGCTAGAAATGCTCAGCATAATGGCACACACAAGAGGGATACCATGGATGGGAAGGATGCTCACCAAATGTAGGGAAACAAAGTCATCTTGCTGCTGCAACCATGCAGGCTGAAACCACCACTCTCTTCTCCCTTTTCGATGTCCCGCAACTCTCCATGCATGTGCAAGGTGTTGGTATGGATGAAAAGCTTGGATGATGGGGATTGCTGTGGTCCAACATGCAGAGCTTGAGTTTGGATTCTTATATTGGATTTGAGGAGGAGAAGTGATCTGGGAGCTCAGCTTGAGAAGGAAAAGAAAAAACAAGCGAGGGAAGTGAAAGGGGAGGAAGAAGAAGGTTTTTTTTTGCTGCTCACCTTATGTCCAGAGGTGAGGTGGGGCGCACGGCCAAGGGTGGGTTTTGGGCTCACCCAAGGTCACTGACAAGTGGGCCCAAGTCGTGGTGGTCTAAGAGGTAAAGGCTAAAATAGAGGTGGAACAAGAATTTGGGCAGATTTCAGAAATTTTCAGCAGTTTTTCACCTATTCCACTGTGACACTCAGTTAGTTCAATAAATAATAGCGATAAAGTTTTATCCTTTGGTGTGGAGATAGACCTAGACACCTAGTTTCCATTTTTCAAAGTTTCACTCAAAAATTCAAAATATTTTAATTCGGGCAAAAAGGTGAATAAGGGTATGCTGAGAAATAAATTGAATTTTAAGTAGGTCAAAACTAAGTGTAAAAATTATAGAAAAATTATATTAACTTTAGATAAATAAAATAGTATTAGAATAAATTATGGTCCTTATACACTTCTGTTCAATTTTATACACATTTAGAAATTTCTTCAATTTACCGATTAGGTTTCTATTAACTAAGTGCGACTATACTTGACTGATATATTTGAGGTAGTCAAAAGAATGATAAAATTATGAAACCTTCATAGTGCTCATCTTAGGTTGTCTAATAGACATGATGAGCTTCTAGGAATTTTATGTTGCTTAGATTTATTGCATAGTCTCTAGGTTTATTTAACATGCATCAACCAATTATGGATGACATAAAAATCACTCAAGCCAATAAATTGGACTTCGCTACAGACAGGTGCACAAGTACACAAACACTAATTACTAATTCTACTAGCTAATTGCTAAGCATGATCAGGTAGATTATCCAATAAGCGAAATATTAATGACTATACTACAATGTTTCTTAACTACTGCTTGACCATTTAATTTGGCTATATACAAAGAGGCTTGGACAAAACTTAGAAGTAGAAAATAACAGAGCTTCATGGGATTATCTAGTATTGAGTCAGCTTGGTGTCGGGTCCCAAAACTAATGATTCGGAAACCGACATGTTTAGACTGTATCAAGCCCTGGATTAGTAGATTGATACAGGTTTAACGATCTGGATCTTCATTGCATACATTTGATTAAAGTTTCAGAGGAGGTATTATCATAAAATATATGGATATTTACAAACTTGTAGCTAACTAATACAGCAGAAGCTATATGATGACTCAACTCTGCCGTTTTGCTATAGAATTAAACCATCTAACAATAGTAGACTTCAAGACTAGGTTTAAAGGGAACTAACGTATGTGATTGAACTCCCGGCTTCGATTAGAACTCCAAATTAACTCTGAAGAAGGTGGGGTTGAAGCAAGGGTGAGTACAACGTACTCAGCAAGTTATTATATTCAATATGAATGTATGAAATAGTAGCATTTGAGTAGGGCTAGATTTAATTGCAGAAAGCAGAGGATGTAGAAGAAGAAAGCCTGTAATGACTTTAATGCAACAGTATTTAGTAAAATCTTGAATTAGGTTTCTAACCAAATACCATATGAGTCCCGCTACTCAATTCCGTGAGCATGGCTATTCGAATAGTTTCATGAATATTCTACTGCAGTAGATGTACGCTTTACCCGCAGTCCACGACTTGCTGATAATCATCGGCTTTAGTCATGGCCTAGTATTAGGTTATTAACAATTGTGGCACCTGTTCCATGAACTCTAATCCCCATGCGCTCTGAACGTAACGTTATCAGCAGCAAGAGGAGTTCTGGCTTTCCCGGGGTCTTTAGAGAGAACTGATTGTATGACACCATGTCATCGCAATCAGGGTTCACAAACAGACTAGTCATCATAATTTATCTCAAATATTTACCTGCGCCTCGGTAAATATTACAATCACCCTTCGCGGCGTAAATTTGCCTCCTGCGCGAGGACTTACAAAAGGAACCACTGTACAGAGGTGCCACATTGTTAATTAACATAATAGCTAGGTCTGTCCCCATTCTACAAGCTGTGGTCGTACTCGTTCGTTTGACATAAGTATTTGGTGGCAATTATATCGACCGAGACAGTACTAGCCACCCGGAAATCAACCAATTCTTGCGTACTGTCCCAATCTAAGTTCATTATATTTTTATGCGGTGTAACTAGGCAGGGCTAAGCAAAAGCTAGCATATCTGGTTTGCTATATTCAGGTTATGCATTCGAAATCATGAATGGCTAATGCATAGATTAAAGATATAGAATATAGGGCATTTATGCTCAAAGGAGAGGAATAATAACTTGCCTTGCTCCAACGCAAATAAATCCGAGATAGGCAACCTGATTATCCGATCCTCGAAATACCACAGGTTGCCATCCAAAATAAAATAGACTCTACTAAGAAAAACGAAGAACCAAATTCAATAAAAATCATGAAATAGCAAGAAAACAATGAAGAGCGAGAAAGGCTGGGTTTGGAGGGGTATAAATATCTCCTTTTTATTGGGTATAGGGATTATTAGGCTAATATTTCATGTATGGTTTCTAAAGGGTTGGAGGCTGGGGGAATTAAGCAACTAGGGTCACTTATATTTCATGTGTGGGTTTATGTAGTTTGGAGGATAGGAAATATACTGGATGATTGAACTGGTTAAACAGATATATAGCTAGTATCGGCTGATGGTAGGTTTTGGTAGGATCATACCTAGGGTTTAGTATTTTTGGGCCGATAGGACAGCATATCGGCTAGGCTCTATATTTGATGTGTAGGTTCTGGTAGATAGAGAGTAGGTGGCTAAGAGTATGGTGGATAGGTGGTATTGTAGAGGGTATGGAATTTGGGTAACAATTGGGATTTGACTAGCAAGGTATCGGCTAGATTTGGTATCTTCTCTAGCCAGTGTCAACAGAAAGGATAACGACTAGAGGAATAGGAGATTTGTGTAGGTTTAGTGGGGTGGAAGTGTTACTCCGACAACCGTGAGTGGCGGCGGAGTGGCTAGGATCACACAGAGCCAGAGTGCTAACTGTGCGGCGTGCTATGGAGGTCGAGGGAATAGTGAAGCTCCGACCGTTATACGCATCAAGGCGTGGGGTGCCATGAGCAGCACTTCGACCTTGGGTTTGGGTTTTGCCGCGCTTTACAACCAACGGTTTGACGTCAGGGCCTAGGTAACCGCAAACGTCTCCATGAAAGGCGTAAAGTTCCAACCGGCGGCTTTTTAATGGCTAAAAGATATTTTGGGTTAAAAGGAAATGCTTGCAAAAGGCAATTATAAATTTAAACGGTATTTGAATAAATTCAAATAAAATTATAAAATAGCAAATTGGGTATCAACATATAGATTTTGAATTTAGATGAATTTAGGTCCAAGTTTCATCGGAATCGGATCTACGGTTTAGGAGATATGGGCTTCTAAAGAATAGGATTTGAATTAAATCTAGAAAATATGAAAGATTACTATTCATGGGCCCACCTGTCAGTCTTTCTTTTTCTTTTTCTCCTCCTTCTTCCTCCCGTCTCTTCCTTCTTCTCTCCTTCGGTTGAACAAAGAGGAAGGGGAGGAGGGGCGCCGGTTTTCCGGCGGCTGAAAGACGGCGACTCCGACGGCTGGTGGTGTTCCCGGGTGTGGCGCACCTAGGGAGGGCACTAGCCGGACAAGGGGGTGAGAGAAGAGGTCGGAACGGCGAGCACAAGGGCTTGGTCCGGCCGATTAAAAGAGGTGATGGTGGTGATTTATTTTGGACGGGGAAAGGAAGGGGAAGTGAGGAAATGGATTCGCCTCGTCGAGGCAAAGCCGATGGCGCGAGGATCTGGCCAGCAATGCTCCGATGAGGGAGATCGGCAATAGCCGGTGGTGGCTGCCATGGTAGGAGAGAGAGAGAGCTTGGTTTGTGGGGGAGAAAAGGAAAGGTTTGCCGTCTATTTATAGGGGTCGAGGGCGGTGGAGAGAGGCGGTTCGGAGGAGAAGGTCGACGAAGACACGGCTGCGGCGACCTGGAGAAAACAAGCACGTCGCCGATTTCTTAGCGACGTCGGTTGGCGGCGGCGTGCGCGTGTTGCACACGCGCACCTGGAAGAAGGCGGCTCGGCTGAATTGGGCCAGTCTGGGCCGAAGGAAGAGAGGGAGAATTCGGCCCAAATGAATAGAAAGGCTTTCTAATTTGTGTAGGGAATTGAGGGATGGAGTTTGAATCCAAATTAATATTTGGAAGAAATTTAAGTGGCTAACCTATGAGATGAATTTATTTTGGAAGTAATTTTCAAATAGAGATTTCCTAATTATTTGAGTGCAATATTTTAGAAGTAGTATATAATGGAATTTATTTGATGCACTCAAATGAAAGGGTGAGGGATAAATGAATAAAATTTAATATGTAAATAGGAAGGTGGGAAAAAGATAATTGGAGAAGGATAAATAGGGTTTTAGCCTCAAAATATATGGCATGGGTTTCAAAGAATGAGGCTAATAGGAAATTTGGATGACAAAGATATAATCTATTTTCTTAGCACAAGAGTTCACAATATTCGTAATAATTTTATTCTTGTGCCGAGAAGGAAATCAAGCCACAGAAATTTAATTAGTGGCTAAATCAAAAGGAGGAATTTGGATATTTGGATTGAGAATCAAAGGATAGGTTTAGAATCAAAGGATGGATTAACAAATAATTCTAATGAGATTGGAATTATTTTGGTTTAGGTTCAAGGGCAAAATTGGGAATGTTTCTTGGACCACAATTCATAATAATAAAAAAAAGTGGTTTTCAAGCAAAATTGAATAAAAAGAATTTTAGTCAGAAGAAGGTTTTGAACCAAATCAAGAAATACCTCAATTTAACCAAATATATTTTTAAATGAAAACCACAAAAGAGATTAAATACCATAGAGGCTTTTATACAAGTCAGTTTTAGGAGGTCCCGCTAATTATACTTTCCTAGGTTTAGAAGGTTGTTAAGAACATAAGAATCAGCATGATGCAAAATTAGAAAATAGTTAAATTTTCAGGCTGTTACACTTGGTCTCTTGAAACATGGTTCCCCTCGTGGAAGAGAAAACACAAATTAGTCAAGCTACTCCTCGAAAGTGTTGCTAGATTTTATTAGCGCCAAAACACTCTCTGAACGTTGGACGAGTCTTTAAAAAAAGTTTTTCTTTATGTACCACAAGGTTAATTGTAGGGTCATTAGTCTACCTATAATGATCACTAAAGTTTCATATTAACTCAAACCAACAGTTTGGGAAAATGGTTTCAATTTCTACCCATCTTTTTTATACACAAATGAACGAATGAGGTTTTGAACCCAAATAGCTTTAAAACTTCCAACTTTTACTTAGGATATACCCCGATTTCCACTTAAGTTGATTAATTAAAATTTCAGGATGTTACAAAGCCTCTTGCAATTCAGCTCATGCTTCAAGTGTGTGTGAATGAGGGAGAGGAGAGGGGTATTTATAGGCCTAG